TCTGCCTTCTTTCACCATGTTCGCTCAAAGGTGGGCCGAGAATAATAGCTGAAAAGCGGGCTGTGGATCTCAATTTTTTCTGCAGCTCTTACCGTCTCCCAGCGTGAAGGGGTTAAAAAGCATTGGAATTTGGGAATCATTGGAAGGTTGTGGAAAGTATGTAGGTTTTTGTTTTTGCCATTGTCTGTCAAAAAGGCTATGAATATCACATACTGCTAGTTATCTTTGCCATGCATGCATTATTGTCCCCGCACTCTTGACACCCGGGCAGCATTCAAAATGTAATATTTATCCTAGCATGTTTTAGCCAGTGGATTCTTTGAAAAGTCCCAGAATGCTTAGTATCCTTTGTAAAACCTGAGTGTAGCCAACTTTGTACTAATAAATTTAAGCATCATTGACTATTTGATATCAGATAATTAGGCAAAGTATGATTCAAAAACAGGAATTTGCAAATAGCCTTCTATCTTTTCAAATTACAGCAAACAAATCTTTCAAGCACTGGTTAGAGTAAGTACTTTTGCAAGAAGAGGAGAAGATTTTTAACCCTAACCATGTTGAACCCAACAAGGTTATGCAGGATTTCAATGGTCCCTGGGAGTTAGGGTTAAGATTACATGTATATGTTAAATCACATCTTTTCCAGGATATTAAGGCCAAAGTTGTGAACCAGCAACCCAAAATGGACAGTCTTCATGACAGTTGCGCAGCCATGGCAACCAGTGGCCAGATGGACCATGCAGAGGACGTGTCCCGATTAGACGGGATCTACAAGGACCTGCTCAGCCGGACCGCCTCCCGATGCATAGTCATGGAGGATGCGGTGAGGGTCAGACAAGCTTATGCAGCCAACGTCAAGGAGGTTCAGGACTGCCTGGAGCACTGTGCCATCGAGATGCCAGCGCTGCAAGAATCCGGAATGATAACTGAGGAGAAACTGGAAAAATGCCAGGTGCGTGATAGCGTTCTTTCAAGAGTGTTTCCTGGCAACTTGGATGGATTATTAATGTTAAATCCTTTCAAAGTGTGAAATGCGTGTGTTGTGTTAGGCAGAGCAGTTTTTTTCAAAGCAGATCTATCAAGTGGAAGTCCACCAATGTCTGTTCCTTGTTTGACCTTGTTGTCTTTGAACAGAAATCTAGATGCTTTCTCATTTCCCATATTGAAGTGTAGCTTCTTTTCTCCAAGGAAGGATGATGCTGCAAAATATAAAGTTGAAAAGGTGAAATCTTAGTATTGTTGAATCATGTTGAGCAAGGCCTGTCTAGTAATGTACAAAACCATGTTTCCATTATACTCAAGGTCTGTAAAATGTTGGAAAGCTCTTGCCATCATAGGAGTTATGTTGAAAGAATTGAAAGTACTAACCAGATTTACCAATGAAATGAGTCTGAAATATCTTCCAGTGAAATGAAGAACAGTCCATTAAGTGGTTTCCCCAAAACTGGATGCATAATAAATTGTATATTGTATGCTATCATTTCCCAGGCCCTGATGTCAATGGTAGATGAGCAGTTTCCCACCGTGGTGACTCTGGAAACCCAGGGGCAAGACATCCTCCACACTGCCGACAAGACGGACCAGCCCGTCATCACTGCCACCAACCTCAAGCTCAAGCAGGACCTGAGGTTGGCAGCGGAGAACCTGAGAGAAAACCAGCTGGTCCTGGAACAGACAAGGAGTGACAAGGAGGCACTGGGGAAGGAGGTGGAGGGATGCCTGGCCTGGCTGAAAGCAGCCGACGCTGAGATGAGGGAGATGACACCCATTGGCCTGCCTGCTGAAAGAGTTGAGGAAGAACTAAGCAAGCACGAGGTCAGTTCTTCACAGTAGATTACATCGATTCCTATTTTATTCATACGTGGTGTTTCAGTGGCAATAGATGTGATAGCATTTCTAATCCATCACTCAAACCAGATGGAGGCCATTTGGGCTTTTTTATGTCTTTAACAAGGCTTTGGGTCATAGTCCTTCAACTGGTCCATCATACAATTTTTTTGCGAAAAGCTGTTCTTTGTTATGCTTGTGCTGTAAAAATTCACCAATTACACACTACTAAGTTAAAAAGTTTTGCAGTGATTTGTGCGTAGTCAAGAACAGTTGTCACGTACCCTAAGAATGAACGGAATTTATGAAGTTAACACATTCAAACAATCATCCTCAGTGAATTCACTGTGTAGAATGTGTTGTAAATTGACACATAAATGAGATCTGTGATACAGAGGAAAACTTAAATTTACTGATACAAATTTACTCACATAGTAATTCCTCTTCAGTGCAGAAATTACATTTGAATGCACAGAATAAAATGGCGTACATGCACCTAATGCGTACCTACTATTTCACTGAACATCACCTTCAAGTTTTGTTGAATACTGACTTCTGTAAGAGAAGATTAAGAGTCATGCTTACATGTGAGCTTTTGGGGGTTATAGCTTTCACAGCCAACCCTGGACAAGCAGCTCCAGCAAGCCCAAGCCCTCATCATCAGTGTCAATGCCAAGTACGCTGAGCTGGGGGAGCCCATCCCCCTGAAACTCCAAGCCGACCTGGAGGAGATGGATGCCCTGCACTCCCAGCTCCTCTATGCTACCAAGGAGAAAGCGGCCAGGCTGCAGGAGGCCCTGAACCTGAGGGAAGACCTGGAGAGAGGCCAGGAGGCGGTTGGGGAGTGGCTGGACGCTGCCGAGGAGAAGCTACAGGAGGAGGAAGAAGGGGTTGACTTTGAGGAGGGACACGACCAGTTGCAGAAACATAAGGTGGGTGATAGTTGTCAGCCAGTAGAAGCGATTGAAGATATCAGTGAGCTGCCATTAGAGAGCTCAAATCAACAAATGCGCTCCATATTGCGGGAATAGCACCAACAAATCTTTCAATTCCCCTTGTCATTTTCATGGGATGCCTCAGTCGTTCTTCAGGTGGTTATCTCTCTTTGACTCCTTGGATGTCTGCAACCTTCAAAGGATGGAAGCAAGTAAAACTTTATGTAGGCACAAAGTCAAACTGCGATACACAAATCAGTCTTTCTGGGAGAAAACGTCAGTTGCACATGATAGTGTGAATTGCTCCTGTTTCCTCAACTCGGTTAAGAAAAGATGTTAGTTATAGCTGATGTGTCTGACTAGGAGAAATCGGAACTGTTATGGGCATCTTGCTGCTCATGTACAAGAAGTGAAAGCTGTTCGGCAATTTCAATTAATTCAGTAAGTGCAGCTTATCTTTGGATTCTTTCCATTTAAATCCGTGCAAAATCCTACGCTATGGAAATTCACTCCCAAGCAATTCCACTTGCCAGCTTCAACTTTCCTGGCAGTGTTTCAAACACAAAAAACTTCTGTTTGAAGTAATGAAGCAGTTTCAGACTTTAAATCAGTCGTAAGGATAGTGAACTATGTGAAAATAACCAATCTGTCTGTGTAGACTACAGTATGAGATGTTCACATTTCAGTTTTTTAATTACTGCTTCCCTTTTATCCTTAATCAGCTCCTCTTTGCCAAGGAAGCAATCTGCCAGAGTAGACTGGACGAAGTTGAAGAGATCGCTGAGAAGATCCTGCCATCCCTTAGCCCAGAGGATGCGGCCAAGCTGAAGGCAGATCTCAGCGATCTCGCCTCCCGGCTGGCGGACACTGCCACAAGGGCAAGGAACGTGGAGGAGGAGCTCCAGGACGGCGTAAACAACTGGCAGGACTTTCAGGCTGGTGCAGCCGAGATGAAGAGCGCCCTTACTGGGCTGGAAGAGAGAGCCTCGTACCAGTCGCCAGTGAGCCTGGCAGTGGCCAGGGACAATGAGCAACTCAGTCAGGTAGGTGCCTGTTGTCGCATAGTTGCAAATCTGGCACTGTTCGACAGAACAACGCTGACCAATGTGTTGCACTTTCTAAATATATTGTGCTGTAATCTGCTTGCGTTGATCAACTGTAAAATTTAAATGCACTGTGCATGAAGGTCATCTTAGATGCTTGGCTGAATACTCCATAAACTGAGATTTCCTGTCTTAGTCAGATATTTCAGCTGGTGATGATACAATTTCTTAATTTTTTAGCTCTTTAAGAATGGAATCTGTCGATTGAGTTCTTGCTTATTTTTTGACTTTAGAAACTCAGACACCTAATCAGACACGTCCATAGGTTTATAGAGTTTTCTTCGGCTGACAACAAAGAGGGACACATTTGTGCATTTTGTTTTCTTTTAATGATCTGTTGTCTTGGTTTATGTTTCATTTCTAGGAAATAGGCGAAGTCATGCAAACCCAGGTGAAGCAACTAGAATTCTTGAAGCAGCAAGCTGAAATATTAGACAAGCAGGGAAACGAACCAGGCAAGGAAGCCGTCCAGAAAAGGTTGCAAGACCTGGAGCTTTTGGCAGACAGCCTGCAAGACAAGACATCGGCCGACAACCAGAAGATCAAGAGACAAGCTGCCAGCTGGCAGGGGTACCATCATGCTTTGCAAGAGGTCACAGAGTTCATGTCATCTGCTGAGCGATGCCTGCCCATGTACGTCTCACCTAGTGTTGGGAATGAAGACCTCATCAGCAAGCTGGATTCTGCAAAGGTAAGATTTTAAACTCATTCTTCAAGCATAGCCGAGTTCTTGATTTTGATTGGTCAATTTAATAATTGATTCATTTATAATAATCTGATTGGTCAATTTAATAATTGATTAATTAACAATAATCTGACCGGTCAATTTAATGAGTGATATTTTTTCATAGGGCACAGGTCTCTTTTGGATATTGATGGGTTTTTCTTCCTTGTTATCGTACGCTTCATTTTTCTGTCATGCTTTGAATGCCCCCTTTAACCCCAATTTCTGGGTTAAAGTTTGCAGGAAATTTGCAAATCTTCCGGTGCTCATCACAAGTAGGAAACCAGTGACACACGCTGTGACTAGGGTACCATATCCTGTGTACAGTAATACTTTCTTGATTAGAGCTTCCAAAATCTGGGAAAATCCGCCCAAGCCTCCTGGTGGACTTTCGGCATTGGGGAAAACAGCATAACTGTTTTTCCAATTATCTTGGTTATTTCTTTTTTTTTCAATTTGACTTTAGGAGAGCAAAGTCAAAATGGCTGAAGGAGAAGCCAGCCTTGAAAGGTTGCAACAAGCCAGTCAAATCCTGCTAGATGATCTTGATGACCCAACACTCTCTGAACCAGTCAGAGAGGAGATGGCAAGTGTACAAGACAGAGACAGCAGGTAGGACACACTAACCTAGTATATTTTGAGGCACATGTATAGTTGAGTTCCATTGCCTAATGGCTGGGTGTGTCAAATTAATTACCTTGTGGCTGGTTTTATTCGGGTCTATGCAGTTGTAGCCACTGTCTCATAAATGTCCTCTGCAAAAGCAAGGATACCATGATATCGGCAGTGCTGTTTTTGTTATACAAGTGCTGGAGTAGTTAAGCAATGTCTAGCTGTATACTACCCAGATGTCAGAAATGCTTCATGGTCTTATAAAATGATCATCAGAAATAATACCGGCATAAACGCCTTTAGCACCTGTGTTGGCAGGTAAGAAGGCTTCATATTACATTTGTATATCTTATATGTTTTTATGAAATATCCAATTAAAGATTACAAGCTGCAGCAACTGAGACTGAATCTTCTCTGGAGCAAGAACTCGAGGACAGGCGAATCTTTGCCTTACAGGTGGAGGACGTCTTGAAGGATCTGAAACAACTCCTGAACAGACTGGCTGAGCTGGTACAGAGTGTTGGCCCAGAACTGAAAGATGTTGAAGAGAAGATGAACAGACAACAGGTGTGTTGGAAAAATTTAGGAGATGGTATTTTCGTTGCTTGTAGATATACTTGATGAAACTTTGTTGGTCTGCTTTCAGTCAAGTTGTTTATTTTGTTACGGTCTGGTGGCTTTGCTGCACTTAATCATGACAAGATGTTTTCAAAGGCATTGAAATTATTTTTTTTTTATCATTGATCTGCCAGGACATGGCCAATGAGCTGAATGTCCTGAACCAGGCATCTGACACCCTTGCTGACACTCAGCAGTCGAAGTATGACACCCTCAAAGCCACGCCGCCTCCTGAGATCGCCGAGGAGATTGAGAGGCTCCGCATCCAGCAAGCTCAGGTGGCCGAGGTGATGGGGGATGTGGAGAGGAGCCTTGAGGGTTCCAAGAGGCTGCGAAGAGACTTCTGCGACAAAGTGAAGAGGGTTGAGGAGGTCTTGGAGGAAGTAACTGAGACCTTGCAAGAGAGAGTCATCGATATCTCGGAAGGGAAGAGAGCAACTGAGGTATGTCATGTTAGGCCATTTTCATGGTGTAGTTGATTACAATTTTCTTTTGCGTCTGTTACTTCAGTGTTTATTGTGAGTTATTGTACAACCTCCAGAACACTTCCAAATTTGTTAGCCAGTGGCCTATTATATTATATTGTTTCAGTTTCTGCGGCACTTTTTACATAGCTGGTAGCGACACTGATCAAATTGGTCTTTTTAGCCAAATTAAATGTTAACATATACTTGTTTAAATTGAACAGGTTCCTCCTCATTAGCCTTTTCCAGTTCTCATAATAATATTTTGTTCACCATTGTACTTGTTTTAAACTTCAAGCTGTGAGCAAGATTCTGTGCTTAGGTAGAATGATTCCCTTGAACACAGATATATAACAATCTTCACTTGTATGCATCCATTTCCTTGATTTTGATGTACAGGAAGCTCAGGAAACTCTCCAAGAAGCCAAAGCTTTGATGGATGTCCTTCATCACCAGGCTGACAGCCTCACCGACCAATCCAATCAGCCGACAGAGAGACAGCAGGTCATTGCCAGAGTGGACAACCTCCAACACCAGGTCATGGAGATGGACGAGTCTGCATCACTGAAGGTCGCCGAGCTGACCGAAGCGGTCGCACCCTGGGAGGAGTACCACGAGGCCATGGCGAACGTGGAATTATGGGTAGCTGAAGGGAACAGTGTGACAGAGCCAGAACTTGTAATGACGAGCCCACAGGTTGTACAGTCTCAGTTGGATTCACACAAGGTTTGTGAATTTGTTGAACAGTGATTACCGGTAAATTGGAACAAAAATATAACATTATACAAATAGAACAAACAAAGTTCAGTCGTTTTATATTGAAATTTCAGGTGTTTGTCATCAAAGTATTTGTACTTGGCTTTTATTTTTATGTAACAAAGCGAATATAGTTTGGTTAGGTTGATGTTACTTAATTTTTAACAATATTTCATAAAGTAGATGTAATTTCAACGAAAGAAGGATTTGGTCTCAACGTTCCCCTTTTACTTTGTTCTTAAACCTGTCAGTGTTTCAAATTTGTGAGTTCTGTACTCTAATGTTCCTGTAAACAGAACATTTTAGCCAATGTCCCAGACATCACTGAGAAGCTGGACGTACTGACTGCAACCACGGAAGCCCTGTCGCACATCTGTGACTCGAAACATCTTTCCCAGAAGGCCTCTGCCATTTCCGAGCGAGCCAACGAAGTGGAATCCATCACTGAGGAGAGAAGAACAGTCCTTGAAGAGGCTGCCAAACAGTGGGTGAAGCATGGCAAGGAGTTGGGGGAGTTGACAGCTGCTGTTTCGCAGGCCAAAGCGGCCATGTTTGCACCTGAGTTGGAGACCAAGGGGCTGCATCAACAGATGAAAGCTCAAGAGGTCAGTTACAAGTTCAAGAAACTGTTTTGCCCACATTTCTGTTGAGAATTTTCTTCAGACATTTAAAAATTATCTTTTTCATCTTCTGTCATTGGCATTACTGTGTTGTTAAAGCTTTAGGATTAGTATTCCCAATTGACTCAGATTTTGTGGAAAGGAGCTGCGTTACAGTTAACTTCAAGCACTCACTGCAAAAGAGAATCAATAATAGCATCGAATTTGACTTGACTTTGAGGAAACAGTTTTATTTATATTGAAGCCTGTAAGAATCACATTGTTCTTGTTCCCTTTCCTACTTGAATGGGAAAAACTTTGATAGGAGGTTAATCAGGATGATGTTATCTTGTACATATTACTGTTGAACACTTTGCAAATCTTTTCGCAAGTGATTTTTTCAAGCATCAAACTTGCTTCCAAATAGGAAATATCAATGCCATCAGTAAAAGATGCCCTCTGATTAGAAGTTTATTTCCAGGCTGTTATCAGGCGGTTATTTTCTTATGCTTTAAATGTTGAGCAGATATTTTTTCTCCTCCTCTTTGAAGGATCTTTTGGCTGCTCTGGAAATGTGCGAGGCCAAAGTGGAAGCTCTGAACATCCGACATGCCTTCCTGGTCCTGTCCAAACCCACAACCCGAGGCCATCTCACTGAGACTCCACCCACCTCTCCTCGCCGTGCCCAGGAGGTCACACCCAAGGTTGCAGGTCAGGAGGTCATCGACCCTCAGCTGACTGAATTAGCTGGAGAATTGGAGCAGCTGCACCAGATCGCAGACGAACACAAAGACAAACTCAGGGTGGCTCTCATCCAACAGGTAACCACTTCACTCGGAGGACTTTAAATACCATATATAAAATAAGGCTGTGCAAGGCTGTGCTAGCTCTACACACAGTCTACCAAAGACATTTTTTACCTGCTCATGCTAAGTTTTGACGCCTTGAATATGTATGCATTACAGTTCACAGAGATGTCTCCTGAACTACACTGTATGCAACTTATTGTTGACCCAAGGAACTGAGGATATATTGTATATCATTCACTAATGCTATAGTACAGAAACTGCACTACACTTCAGCCTTACTTTGCACCAACACCATTTCAAGTAATAACTCTTCTTCACAGAGGAGAATGATTTATGGTGGAAGCAGTAAACTTTCAGGGAAAATCAGTTCAAATACCTAGTTAGTCTGCATTATGCCTGTAGGTTGTAAATGGCCTCATTTGGTTTTCAACTGTCAAAAGCATGATATACTATATCTATATATCATACTGTTAAATCATATAAAAGGATATCTGTGGTAACTCTAGGCTAGTTTATTTTGTGTATTTGTTGTTCTAGGAGGAATATGATGTCCAGTTGGAAGTCCTGGTGACTAAGATAAGAGCAGCCCAAGACAGGATGGCATCACCCGTTGAGCCTACAACCATGGAGGAAATTAAGAGGCAGCTTGCAGAACATGATGTGAGTGTGAAAGGATAAGTTATTGGGCATTGATTTCATTATCCTGAAACTTAACCATGGATTATCACTTGTTAATGGCAAATTTGTTGTACGTTTGGTTAAACAACAAAAAGGTATTTGGCATACTACTTTGCACGAAAAAACAAGGTCATGGTTCCTGCATCCTTCCTTCAGAGATAATCCAAAAGTGCATTTGTATTTTGGGGGTACAGTATAAAAATTCATTTTTAAGGTATGAATTTTACTTCATTTTGAATGCACTACATCTTAATTACTTGGACGTGTTTTAGAATTCCATTTGAAAAACAAAATTGATTTTGAGGTTGTTCTAGGGGTCGTTGATAATTGTTTTGTTTGGATCAAAACTCTGTTTTACTAAGGGAATAAATATATGGTTGGCCAAGGATCAGGAGAATGGATGCTGGTAACACTTGAGCCGAAGGTGAAGGATATTATCAATCTCCATTCTCCTGGGCCAGTGTTATTCACCGTGATTACTCATTATGATTTTGGGGTTTTCGCATCTGTTTATCACAGGCTTTGGCTGCAGAAATCCAGACATATGAAGATGAGATCAGCCAGCTGAATGAGAAGACAGAGAAGCTCCGTGAAGAGGCTGGGGCCAGAATGGCCTCTCGGCTTGCCTCCTACGCCAAGGTCAACCCTCCACTCCAGTTCATAACAAGACCACATTTTGGTGTGCAGGCCCAGCTGCTGCGGAGGGGAAGTCCCACAATGCTTCCAGGACTGTTTGCTACTCCCCAGGATGCTCCCGCAAGTGTCGATGACGGGATGGAGCCACTGAGTGCCAAGATGGTAGAGGACATTGAGAAAGAAGATATTTCTGACGCAGAGGAACAGCCTCTTGAGGCATCACAAGCTCTTGATAGGATTCCACAAAGGTCTGATCTGACAGAACAAGCTCCTCCGAGCCTTGCATCAGAGGCTCAGAAACCATTGAAACGACAGGATGATATGAAGACTCAAGTTGTTACGGATCAAGGCCTGGCTTATATTCTGAGGCCTCTACAAGAGACTGCAGATGACATCAGCGGCTCGAGCCCCTTAACTGGCTCAGCAAGTCGCACCCCAGGTGGAGGTGTGGGACAGCCATTACCAGACTATGTTGTTATGCAGGAAATACATCCAGAGAAATTGCCAACTGTCGTTGCAATAACATCGATTCCGGGAACTCACAAACCACTCATAATTCAGGATCCAAGGACTGGACAACTCATGGCTGCTGAGCCTGCCGAGAAACCAGAAGAGCTCCCAAATCAGCCAACCATCTACATTCCAGAGTCTGGAAAAGTGTTGATCTTAAATCCAAATGAGAACATGGCATTAGAGGCTTGCCCAGTTCAAACAGCTGGAGTATTGCCCTCCCAGCACGCAGACTCTAATACAATTGGTCAGGAATACCAACCACCAACAGAAACCCCACTTTCTCAGGTTGAACCCGGGAAAGCACCAGAGGCAGCTCTTCAAAAACAGATTGTTACAGACAAAGGCCTGGCCTTTGTCCTGAGACCGCTTGAAGATTTTGATTTGAGTTCAGGTGTTCCGAGCCCCTTGTCTGGTGTCTTTGGCGTGGCCCCCGATGGGGGCGACAGTCAGTCATTACCTGCTCCAGATTATGTAATGATAGATGACGCTCAACCAGACAGCTTGCCTGTTATTCTAGGATCAGACTATTTACCTGTAGCTGAGAAGCCACATGTCTTTAAAGACCCACAGACAGGACAACTCATGTTTGCAGAGCCTTTATCTGAACCCCTTGAGCTGCAAAGCACACTGACTGCATACATCCCTGACTCGGGAAGAGCTATCGTTATTGACCCAAGCAGGAATAAGACATTCGAAGCTTATCCCGCTAAGGATGTTCCTGCAGTGTCTGAGGAGGTGACGGCAGAAATGATCTTGCCTGTGGAACTGCAGGAGTGGAAAGCCAACCTTTCACTCCTTTCAGTTGAAGAGCAGTCAGCAGCTGAGACACTTCCACCATCCAGAAGCCAACTTGAAGAGCCACAAGAATCTGAGAGGCCTGTACTGCGACAGATTATCACAACAAAAGGACCAGCATACATTCTTAAGCCAAGTGAAGATGGTTCATGTCTTCCTAGTCCACTCAGTGGCCAAGATGGCAGTGCCCCTGACGGTGGACAAAGCTCACAATACCCTCAGTATGTTATCTCTGGGGAAGTTTCTCCACAGACTGTACCTAATGTCATTGGTACAAAGACCATTTCCCTAACTGAGCCTTTGAGAATACAAGATCCAAAGACTGGTAACATCATGGAAGCATACCCTGCTCAAAAACCAGAGGAATTGAACTCAGAGGCCATTGCATTCTGTGAAGAGTTGAATGCATCACCAATGGTCATTCACTATCCAGAAGCCAATAAAGTCGAGGTCGCTCAGCCAATGCTTTCTGCCACAAAACAGCCTGAAGCACAACTTCTAGTGAATCAGTTAATAACAGAAGAGGGGCCGGCTTACATCCTGAAACCTATTGAAGAGATTAGTGGCCTTGACAGTTTGAGTCGTGCACCAATGCGGGATGAAATTACCTCTGGTCCTTCTGTTTTAACTTCTTCAGAGGTTACTGAACTGGAGAAGGTACCAACAGTAATTACATCCAAACCAGGCCTCCAATCCCTTCAACAGCCTCTGAAGATAAAAGACCCGTTGTCTGGTCGCATTATGGCAGCACAGCCCTGTGAAGATCCCAAAGACCTGCAGACACAAATTACAGCATACAGTGATGATCCTAAATCTGGAGTGATCAAGATCCACCACCCAATTGAAAGAATAGTGCCAGGTGAAGAGTCATTCGTCCTTGAAAAGAAACCAGTGACTTCAGAGCTAGAAGCTAAGTCTCCCCCCAAACAACAACTGGTAACAGCTGAAGGTCCAGCTTACATTCTCAGACCTCTTGAGAAGCAAACAGGGCCTTTAGATGCAAGTCCCTTGCAGGCAAAACAAGGAACTACTCCTGATGGTAGTTACTACATAATCAGTGGCAAACCTGAAGCTTCTGTTCTACCAACTGCAGTATCTTTAAGACCTTTACCAGATGTTCATCTTGGGCCATTGACAATCAGTGATCCCAAAACAGGAAAGCTCTTAGAAGCCATACCAGCAGTAGATCCCCAACAGCTCAGGACAGAGGTCACAGCTGTCATCAAGGATTCAGAGGACCAACCAGTGAAGATCTACCACCCAAAGAAAGCTCAAGTCCTGATTGCAAAACCAGCAAAATCTATGCAAAGTGAGGAAACCAGTCCATCAACAGTTTTGTCAAGACACCCTCTGAGGGCAGCAGTGCAAAAGAGAACACTCCCTGAGCAGCAGTTAGTCACTGAACAAGGACCAGTGTATGTGCTGACACCACTGGAACAGATGCCACCTGAAGATGCAAAGCGTATGCAAACAGCTCCCATTACCCTCCCTTATGACTCAGAACTGGACAAGCTTCCTCCTGTGTTGTCCTCAAGACCACTCTCAGAGACTGGTGTAGAAGCTATGCACATTGTTGAGCCTGTTTCCCAGAAGGTTATGGTGGCAGTGCCATGTGTTGAACAGACACAGTTGCTGACAGAAGTAACTGTGTTTATCAATGAGACAGACAAAGAAGTCAAGATCCACCATCCTCAGAGCCTCAAGCCAACACTGGAGGCAATGTCTGTGGTTTTTGAGAAACAGCCATTGCAATTAATGACGCCTGAAGAGCAACTGTCAGATGAACAGCTTATCACAGTGGAAGGCCCAGCATTCATTCTAAGGCCTATCAGAGATACAAGCCCACTGATTCAACTATCTGCAACAAGCCACAGGTCTGCAGGTAGCATCATTGGTGGCACAGAAATCTGCGATATTCCAACTGTAAAAGAATCAAAGCCAATCTCAAGTGACACAGCTGAGCCCCTCTGGATTAGAGATCCAAGGACTGGGGAGATCATGGAGGCCATCCCAGCAGTTGATCCAGGTCAACTGCAAAGAGAAATTACAGCATATATAAAGGATACCGATGAGGAGCCAGTTAAGATCCACCATCCACATACAGCAAGAGGCACAAAGAGACCATGGACCACTAGTAGTGAGCCCTCACAGCTTGTAGAGGATTCTGCCAGGGCCAACAAAGATTGGCATCAGAGACCTATTGAAACTGGCACCAAGGCAAAGGTCAGCAAGAAGCCTGAAGGATACAAGTTTGCTCTTGGCAAGTCACAAACTGAGCCTTCACCACCCATGCAGGAAGTTGAAATAGATCTCATTTTTGCTCAATCAGTTGAAACAGCGAAGCTAACAGAAAGTCCAAGTTTTGAAAAAGCATCCAGAATCCCCAAACAAGATGATCAGTTGCAACCAGCTTATTCTAGTCCCATCTCACACCAGCTTGTTACGGAAAAGGGCCCAGCATACATCCTTGAGCCACTAGATGAAGCAGCTGTGTTTCAGTTTGGAAGTCCCTGGGAAGGCGGACAAGGAACTACTCCAGGCGGTGGTGTGGGTTCAGCACCAGCTGACTTCCTCAAGGTGCAAGAAGTGCCGTATGAACAGCTGCCGAGGGTCATAGGAACAAGACGTGCAGTTGACCAACATCCTTTTACAGTACAAGACCCTAAAACTGGGAAACTACTGGCTGCACAACCAGCACATTCCTTAAATGACTTAAGGCAGTCAGTAAGTGGGTATATACCAGATGGCAGTAAAGATCAAGCCATGGAAATCTTTGACCCTTCAAGGAAGCAAGTGGCTGTTGCTTTGCCATCAGAGATTGCAGAAGATCTGATGACTGCTTTAGGTGGCAAATCATATTTTCCCTCCGAACCCAGACCAGAAGACTCAGCCTCAGTTCCAATGGACTTTAATGATGCTAGGGTATCTGCAGATCCAGTTCCCACAGGCCAGAAAGCTACAGCAGCAATTGCTGAGCACCCTGATGGGCAGATGGAAACCAGTGAGCATTTGAGTGACTCCACATTCACACTAAGCGCTGAACCACTAAGAACGTCAACTCCTTTCAGTTATGCACAACTCTTGAAAAAGCCACTGGTTGAAGAAGCGATTTCTAAACCTCAACTGTATCAGGGAGCCTTTGAAATGCAGGAAGATGCACCAGAGCCTGAAAGCCAATTGGAGGACAAACAAGACACCATCTGTCAGCTGATTACTGATCAAGGGCCAGTCTATGTCTTGAAACCAATTGATAAGGAAACAATTCATCCTGTTAAGGGCAAGGAAGGCAGTGCACCTGATCGAAGTACTGGCCTTCCATCTGTAGATTTTGTCATATCTCAGGACACGTTGCCACAGCAGCAACCACCAGTTGTCACTGGAGCTCGGGAAGTACCACGGTCATTGTCACTTTTTGTCAGGTATCCAACCACAGGACAAGTTTTGGTTGCTTTTCCAGCTGAAAGCCTAAAGGAGCTAGATGACGAACTGACAGCTTACATACCTGATAATGCCAGTCAGTCAATTCGAGTTCATGATCCGAGCAAACCAGAAGATCAAGTAGCTGTTCCGACTGAGATGGTAATAGTTGATGAAACTGCTTCTGCTCAGAGCATAGGGCCCTCAGAATATTCTCTTTCTATTCAGAGTCTGTGGGAACAGGCCCCCAATGATGCTACCTCAACAAAAAATGAGGAACCAGGAATAGAATATAAAGCTGAAGAAGAAAAGGCTTCTGAAAGCGGCCCCTGGCAGCTTGTTGGAAAAGAAGGTCCTATCTTTGTTCTGAAGCCAACTGACTCGAAGGCAAGCAATCCGCCCATATTTGAGCAAGCCAGGATTTTGGACAGTGTAACAGGCACCCCATCAATTGACCTTGAGATTTCTCCAGAATCACAACTGGAGCACCCACCCGTGGTCACAGGTGCACAGCATGCCACACCAACATCTAAACCAATGTTGATCAAAGATCCAAAAACCAGCCAAACATTTATTGCAGTACCAGCTCAGAGCTTGAGTGAAGTGGCTGAGGAGAAAACTGTGTGCATTCCAGGGAAGGCAGTGACCCCAATAAGGATTCATGACCCCCTCACAGGCCGAAGTGCAAGTGCTTCTGATGACATCTTTGCTGATGAAGCTGAGTTGGCTAGCAGAGCACATGAGGTACAAAAGCCTGGATTCAAACTGCCTGATGAACATGGTGGTGAACAACAATCTTCTAGGAAAGATGAGGAGGGCTCTAATATGCATACTACTCTAGTGGAGGAATTCAACCAGTTGTTGACTGATCAAGGACCAGCTTACATAGTTAAGCCAATTGATACATTTGAGGGTGAAGTGAGCAGTCCATTGCAGGGTTTTGGTGGCAGTTCCTCTGGTACGGGAGAGGGTCCTTCATCTGCCAACTTTTTGATTTCAACAGAATCGCAACCTCATCGCCTTCCTCAAGTAATAGGTGCAAGAAAGGTCAGTCCATCAAATCCTCCCATAATTCAGGATCCAGAGACAGGGAGGACCCTTGTAGCAAGACCAGCACAGAGTTTGAAGGATCTGGAAGAAAATATTTCAGCATGTATTCCAGATGGTTTTGAGGAACCAGTAAGGATCCATAATCCTTGCCAGACAGTTGATCAAATAGCTATCCCTACAGGACAGATTCAAGTGGATGAGGCCATATTGTCAGATAGGGTAGGCGATATACACAAGCCATTAAGCCTAAATTTACAAGATAATGTCAGGCGTGATAAGCCATCAGCTGGTAAAGAGGATGAAATGGAAGAAGACTCACAACCCAAGGGTGGTACATCTGAAGAGAGCATGCAGTTGCTTGCTGACCAAGTGGATGGAGCAATGGTAGATTCACAACCTGTAGATGATGCACAGGATGGAACATTGCAACTACTTTCTGACCAAGGACCAGTCTATGTCGTGACATCTTTGGACAGTAAAAGCAGTTTGCTGCCAGGTAAAAAGGAAGGTGCATCTGGCGGAGGGGCAGGGCCTTCTCTGGCAGACTTTGTGATATCATCTGATACCCAGCCGATGCAAGAGCCTTTGATAACCGGCGCTCGCAGCACTCCCCAATCCAAGCTGCTCATTATTGATGACCCATTAACTGGCCAAAGCCTTGTTGCAAGACCTGCTCAGAGCTTGAGAGACTTCGCAGAAGAAGTGACCGCATGTGTTCCTGATGAATGCAACAGGCCCATCCGAATCCATGATCCTCACACAACACAAGATCAGATTGCTGTGCCTGCCGCAATGGTATCGGTTGAGGAAGAAACAGTACCTCAAATAACTGGAAAGAAGAAGAAATCTAAGAAGCGAAAAAAGAAAGGAACCTCAGCTGACCGAAAAGACACCCCAAAAGAAGCACCTGAGAGACGTGTTCCACATGAAGAGGCAAAGCAGCTGCTCACTGACCAAGGACCATTGTATGTATTGACACCACATGGCAGAGAGCTAAGCTCTCCCATGAATGGTCAGCAAGGTCTGGATGGCAGAGTAGGGCCACTGTCAGCAGACTTCATCATATCAGAAGACACAACACCACAACAGTTACCTGTTGTAACAGGTGCCAGGGATGCTCCAAAATCACAGTCATTTGTAATTCAAGATCCAAGAACTAGGGAAGCACTGGTTGCCAGACCTGCAGAGAGTTTAAGTGATCTAACTAAAGGAATTACTACTTGCATACCGGATGATACTACAAAACCAGTCAGGGTCCATAATCCTAATGCATCAGAAGATCTTATTGCACTTCCTGTTGATAGTGCTGAACAAGGATCTCCTTCAGAGGGTCTTTTAGTACCTCCTGTCATTGAAACATCCACACGTGAAGAAACTGAGCAATTGCTCACTGATCAAGGACCACTGTATGTTCTGAAGCCAGTAGATGGCAAAGTGTCTACCCTCAAAGGGGGCCAAGAAGGGGATTCTGTTGATGGTGGAGAGGGCCCTCCATCAGATTTTGTGATGTCCCTGGAGACACAGCCTAAGCAGCAGCCTGTGGTGAGTGGAGCCAGGACTGTTCCACAGTCCACAGTGCTAAGGGTTCAAGACCCAAGAACTGGTCAGACACTGCTTGCAAAACCAGCACACAGTTTGAATGACCTGCATGATGAGGTTACTGCCTCCATCCCGGATCAGACAGATCAACCAATACTAGTCCACAATCCTTCCCTCCTAGATGACCAAATTGCTGTACCTGCCCAAAAGAGTCCATCTGATGATCAAGCACTTCATGCTGTCAGAGCAAAGAAACCAAAGTCACCAAGACATAAAGGCAAGAAACAAAAGACAAAACACCCTGTGCCACATCAAGAGGAAAAAATGGAAGAAACACCATCTGAGGTACCTGGAATTCAACAGCTCTTGTCTGACCAAGGACCAGTTTTTGTCCTGACACCAGTAGATGATGCTAGTAATCCCATAAAGGGGCTCGCAGGTAGTGCACCAAGTGGAGGTGCTGGACCCCCAGCAGCTGACTTTGTGATTTCACCAACAAGAAAGCCACTCCAGCAACCTGTTATTACAGGTTCTAGATGTGTGCCTCCAACAGAGCTCCTCTTTGTCAAAGAACCCAGAAGTGGAGAGACTCTAGTTGCTGAACCAGCAAAAAATCTGAAGGATCTCAAGGAAAAATTGACAGTATGCATTCCCGATGAAGCCAAACAGTCAGTAACTGTGCATAATCCAATCGAGTCCTGTGATCTGATAGCATATCCTTCTGAGCCAGAGTTGGTAACTGAAAGAGTATCAGCTGAAAAGTTAGACAGCATGGAAAAGCCCCTTGCCAAGAGGCTTAGTGCTGATCCCAGTGAAAGATCTATGCAAGTGAGGGAGGATGAGCCCATTCAGAAGCAGATAATCACCGAGAAAGGGCCTGCCTATGTGTTGAGACCACTGGGATCAGCTGCCAGCCCACTGGATGGCCTTGAAGGAGATACTCCTGATGGAGGTGTGAAACCACCCATTGTCGGGGACTACCGAATCGCAGATGATGCTGAGCCACAGAGACTACCCATGGCCATTGGTGTGAGGGCTGCACCACAGCAAAGGCCACTTGTTGTCATCAATCCCCAAACTGGAGAGGCAGTGGAGGCCATCCCAGCTCAGAATGTGCGTGACCTGTACAAAAGCACCATAGCGTACATTGAAGATGAAGAGAATGGGCCCATGAAAATCCATGACAATGATACTGGAAAGGTGAAGGTAGCGTACCCAGTAGAAATTGGGATGGAACCAGACAGTGAAGCTCCTATGACTGAGGACCAGGAGGATGAGCCGAGGAGTGGGGAATCAACCCCTGGCTTCTACACCCCAGAAACTGGATCCCCTGCTCGATCTCGCTCTAACAGTCTCGAGTTGGCTGCAGAGGAGCCCATCCAAGCCAGTGAAGCTGCACCACGTCTCACTGCCTTTGGCTTTCTGGCTCAAGTACTTGGGCTCACCTCTAAAAAAGATTTGAAGCCAAAAGAGGAACCAGCAACAGGTTTGGACGGGACTGATGATGGCATTCCATATGAGGAAGCTGAAGGTTTCCTGCCTCCTGGAGAAACAGAAAGACCATCCACAGCCGAGCAGGTGAACATCCCTGAGTCATATTCACAAGCCACTTTAGATGCTGGCTCAAAAATCAGACCTGAAGAGCCAGTACCTCAACCTTCACGAAAACTAACAACACCTGTCAAAACTGTCAGGTTTGCTGATGACTTGCCACCAACTTTTCCATCGTCCCAAAAATCAGAACCTGATTCAGATGTACAGGCCACTTTCAAGCCACACTTCCCCCACCCCAAGCCTACAAGAAGAGATCCCGATCAACAAGAAGCAAGAGATCCTCAGGGTAAGTCCAGAGAGCCAAGAAAGAAGCTATCCTCCACACCCAAGGAGTCTGACCAGAGGCATCCTCAGCCCCCAACTGATCTCTCTTTGCATCCTGTCACCCCAAAGAAAACTCCAGAAGCTAAACCAAGTCCTCGAAGGCATCTTCACCCATCACCTATGGGCTTCCGTCCAAGCTTTGTTTCCCAATCCCCAACATCCCAAGCACCTGCTCCAGAGCAGCTTATCACCCCAGATACAGACTCAGACCTGTTCTACACACCCGATGCACCGTCAACATCATCAGATGAAGTGTACTATCCAGCTCGACAGCCAGACGAAGAGACTCCAACACAGTTGACAAGAAAATGTGTTACAGCAGCTCCTGTTTCTGGACCTGTAAAATCCCCCTCCTCACCAAGATCCAGAGTCCCTAAAGGAGCTGAATCATCTCCATTGGAAGACCTCCCCAGTAAAACCAGAAAAGGGAAGACTTCCCCCATCGTGGGAAAAGATACTTCTCCGTCTAGGGAGACAGGTGGAGATAGAATTGAGGAACTCAATAGGTCATGGGACAACCTCCAGCAAAAGGTATGAAAATTTCATGGAAATTTATTAATATCAGTTGAATTAACCACTTCATGCTGGGGCAATTTTCAATGTTGATGATGATGGGCCGGCATGACTATCATTTTTCCCGTTTTCAAAATCCTTCAAAAATTCATCATTTCATCAAACGGTCGTTTATAGCCGCACGAAGTAATCTTTAAGCACTACTCTAAGTTGACAGGTGACCTTCATTGACGCCCGAGTATTTCAGCCAGGCCTGCAGCCTTGTAAGCAGAGCCCAGATTGTGCGGTGTTGTGTAACTGTCTTTTGTTCACGAACCTGGCTCAGTGCACTGCTGACCTCTTTTCAATAGGGACCAGATTAGCCTGCAGCGGTGCTGTGTGGCTCATCGCTGCGGTGGTGGAGCGCTTTTGTCCCCGGTGGTAATCCGCTTGCTCTCAATGCCCCAAACCCCGGTATACGGTTTCAAAACAAGGCTGGATAATCACCACTTTTGAGAGTGAAAAATGTCGGTAATGCCCAGCAGCCTGGTCTTTGGTTCGGAGTACGCTCTTTTGTTACAGGGCCCTGTTTCCTTTGTCCGAGTTCGGAGACCCCGGCCACGTATATAAACCATACGTCTCCTGTTCTGGAGTCCCCGGCAGGAAGTGGTTAAGAATCATTTGAACTTGAAGTGGGAGACTTTCAGATTCGATTATTGCCTCTAGCCATCAAGTGATTACTTCTGAACCGTAGAATACTTGATGAGTATCAGTTTGACACTTTGTACCCAGAACAGTCATCAGCTTGACAAAGTAGCACTTCAGTTTTTATTACTATTCATGTTTGTTGCTCAGAAGTTGACTCTAAAACTGTCTGCTGTAATTATTTCTTTAAACATTCCCACATCATGATGTCAGTTAAAGTTATTATTGATGTTTAGTATGAGCCTAGGGTTAACTGGATTGGAAATATCCATCATGATTCTTTATACATTCAAGATGGAAGAGAAACAGAGAATGTTGCGAGACGCTCTAGCCCGCCAAGAGGACTACCACAATGCTCTGTCTGAGCTGAACATCCAACTGGAAGCTGCAGAGCAGAAGCTAAAAGGGATTGATCAGCAAGACCTAGACGAGGGAATTGCTACCTTAGGTGTAAGTCTTGATGCTGTTGGATTTTATTCTACTCTCGGACTGCAAAAATATTAGAGAATCTACTTTTTTGTGTGTTCTAATGTAATAAATCAATAAATTTTGGTTAGCCAAATATTTTCCCACTGCTGTGAAGGATAACATACTGAAAGTCAAAGGGTAGCCCATGCAAGCTTTGTTATTGGCTTTAGTGTGAAACATAACTTAAAATATAACTGAAAATCTGACATAAGCCATAGTACATTATTACAATTTTGGCTGGAAAGCCTGTTTTGCTGAGCAAACGCATATAGTCAGATCGTTGATATAGATTTGAAGCCTAGTTGTGGAAACTTATTCAACCCTAGCACATCTTGGATGAGGTGGAGGCTCTCCAGGATAAGATCATTGAAGTCAAGGAGAAAGGCGATAAGGTGGTGTCCCGCGGTGACGCTAGCAACAGGGATGCCATCCAAGCAACGCTGGCATCTCTCAGAGAGAGGACGGGCAATCTCCTCAGTGACAGCCTGGACAAACTCAACCAACTACAGGTGAGTTATCTGATTCAGCTGAAAAACCCAGTTATCAACGATGTGCAGACTATTTGACCTAGGATAACCACACCGTTAAAGGGAATAATGAAATAGTTTTGTCAGAAACCTGGATTAGTACGTGCATGTGAGTTTCTGACAACTTGTACATGTACAGTGGGAGTAAGAAACGAGGACAAACTACAAGTGGTATTTATATGAAATGCTTGAATATCAAGGAAACCTTAGATTCCATTGATTTCGAAGTGAGGTGTATTTTGCATTTTGAAAAGAAGATGAATGACACCCTTTAATACTCTGACAGATTGAGAGGGAAGAGCAGGAGGAGCTGAAGAGCCAGCTGACGTCATGTAAGAACGAGCTGCTTCAACTGGAAACGTGGTTGGATAACTTCGTCCAACTCCTTGAGGAGGAGGGGCAGGGTGCAGCCTCTCAAGCTGAGGTTAGCGTTGTGGCAATCCAACAGCAGCTGGTGCTCAATCAGGTCAGTGAATTGCTGCCTTGTGGAAACTTCCTCAGGCCTCATTTAGCTCTTGGGGAACTGGGGGTGCGAAGGTCAATGTGGTTGAGTCAACGTACACAAACCGGGGTGGAGAGAGAGACTGAAGCTGGCTCGACATTAGGTCAAACAAAAACTGAGAAGTTTTTCAGGAGTCTGCCTGATAATCTGCAATTTTCTGAATCAAAGCCAAAAAGAAAACAGTAGCTGAAACGTGAAGCTGGATAACTCTCTTATGGTTGATTTATGACCATTTCTTAGAAATGTTGGTTGAAAATTCACACTTGTACTGACTGTTGATGTGTTCATGGGGCAGGAAATAATCCTGATGGTGAGTATTCTGTGCTAACAGTGTTAGCATGGAACCTCTTTACTTGCAAAGTAAGCTCAGAGTCGTTAGCAACAGCAAAACTTGCTTTGTAAGCCAGTTGCTGAGGTTACTGTAAGATGATCATTAAATCAGAAATACCTATCAGATTTCATATAATTCTTTTACCCTTACAGTCATTAATCCTCCAAGAGGTTAAAGAATAAGGGCTGTTAGGGTAATGCATTTCTGCATTGTCCTGTAATGGAAGTCATGATTTTCAATCTGATTTTGAGTATTTTTCTAAACCAACCACAGAATCACCAGTTAGAGCTGAGTCGCAAACTCCAGAAGCTCCAAGATGTGCAGGGCATTGTGGACGACATCCAGGCCAACTGCCCCTCCCGTGAGGGTGAGACCACCTCCGCCCTGGCTGCCCTACTGCGCACTCGTGCTGAGACGCTGAAGCGGGACCTGGGCGACCGGCAGGAGCTGCTCAAGATGCGGCGCAACACCCAGCAGATGGCGGAGGAGTACCAGAGCGATGTGCAGCGGCTACAGGAGTGGCTGGCCGCGCACCGTGGTGCCACAACTGCCACCCTAGCAGCAACTGAAGGGATGGAGGGACGGTCGCTGCCCATCGACGTCGGCTCTGAGTCATTGCAGAGACAGATGGACCTGCAACAGGTAAGTCAAATCAGTTTCAGATCAGGAATACTTGAATTGCTTTTAAACTTTTTACATATTGTGGCTGATAAAAATCATTGCTCTTTAACAAACATTTCCCTTAGCTATTTATTTAGTATGAGAATGAAGCATAGCAAAAGTTAACTACACCAGTATTTGATGAATAAGAACAGTATAGAACTCCACAAAGGATTATAATCAAAGAGGAAAAGTATTAAAAATTAATGAGTAACATATATGTAATTTATTTGTGTGTCACAAGTATCAGATAGCATTTCAACTTTTATTCATTTTGATGATATTAACCACTTGCTGCCGGGCGGTTTGAAAAATGCAGTGCACATAATCTGGACCTTTTCAGGATTATCAGTTTTCAAAATTCTTCAAAAATTCATAATTTCAATTAATGGATGTTTACACCCACACGAATTACTGTCTGGTGACCACTCTATTTGACAGACAAAATCTATTGACATCCGAGTATTTCAGCCAGGCCTGCAGCCTTGTAAAAAGAACCCAGATTGTGCAGTGTTATGTAACTTTTTTTTGTTCACGAACCTGGCACAGTGTGCTGCTGACTTCTTGTCATTAGCGCACAGATTAGCGTGCAGCGGTGCTGTGTGGCTCATCGCTGCAGTAGTGGAGAGCTTTTGTCCCAGTGGTAATCCGCTCGCACTAAATGCCCCAAACCTTGGTATACTGTTTCAAAACAAGGCTGGATTATCTCCACTATTGAGAGTGAAAAAATGTCGGTAATGCCCAGCAGCCTGGTTTTCTGTTCCAAGTACGGTCTTTTGTTACAAGACCCAGTTCCCTTTGTCCGATTTCAGAGACCCCGGCCATGCGTATAAACACATGGTGCCTGAAACTGGAGTCCCCGGCGGCAAGTGGTTAACCCTGTCTCCCTTGAGTGATTTAATAGGAACCTTCCTCATCTTAACACCATCTTAACTATTCACATAAGCAGTTTGATTCTGTTTATTTGTAGTATCTCTAATCCCACATTACACACAGCCAGTATGCCAGTGCAGTACTCATCCTAACAGATTCCAACCAGCCCAGGTGTTGGAGTTTGGCTGGTTGCAGATTATGAGGGATAGAGTTTAAATATTTCACACTTTAGGAGGCTGTATTTTAGCTTATGCCTACTAGAATGAATCAAGCATTCAGTTATATGTTGACATGCACAGTGACACCAGTGTCATAACAATTTCTTTGTCGTATGGAGCACTGTACTGCAAAGCATAATTCAGTTCATAATACAAATGACTCCTAGCAATAAATCAATCTCAAAATGTTAAAATTGTTGACATAATATCCAGATGATGTGGTTTCTGTGAACGATATGCCCAAGAACAGCTTCAATGGTAATATATATTTTCAATGCTCATTATTAGTTTGTCTACACTGATGAATGATATGTACACACTGGAGATGGTGTATTGTCAGTTGCTAAGCGACTGATTACTTCTCTTCATATTGCTCTCATCTTTCACTTTGAAATCAGCTGCTGAGCATATGAATGAATGTCAGTGTCTCGGTGTGATGCCTATGCTTGCTGTAGGCACTACACTATCTTAGAGGGGAAAAAGTAGGAACACTGTATTGCTGCGGTGCACTCAGTACCTTTGTTGGTTGAAATAATTGTCTTTTTGTGGTTGTAGTTTTGTTTTGTTTACATGTAACGAGTAAACCATTATGTAGTATTTTTAAAAAACCCAAGATTTTAAAAAATTTCAGTTTCAGTTCATTGTAGAATTTTACTAAACTGATTATTTTGGCTATTTTCATTGTAGCCAATGACATTATGTAGAGAATTAAAGCCATTTTAGTTGCACATACTTTTACCTGTTATTTAAAAAAAAAAGACTTTATTCTGAAAATTAGATATGGAGACACTTTTCAATGTTTTTTCTTTGGTATTAACAAATGTTACATCGGGCTTTGCATCCAACTTGCACAGTAGACCCTTGTCCCCTTCCAAAACAATCTTATTAAAATTTTGCTTTCCTTCAAATGAAACGGACCAGTCGTAAATGTGCACATACATAGCTCACTCTGACCTTAACCTGAAATCAAGCTACAAATGGGAGTGATGAGCAAAAATTAATAAGCCAAGCCATATATGTTCCAGTTTCCAGGATAGGAACCATGTAATTGTAACGGTATTGAGTATTTTTCTTTGGATGTAGATAGAGAAAGTTGATGGATAAATGTTGCGAGGTGTAACAAGCTGTGCCATTCTAATACTGACAGTACGTCGCTCTGCTAAATGTCAAGTCGGTGCTTAAATGTTCCACAGTCCCTCCCAGAATTCATTTATATCCACCCACTTGCACTTCTCTTGCTGTATTGATTTTTAATCCAAAGAAAAACCATGAAATCTTCAGGCTCTCTGCATTTGATTAATGCAGTGTGCACTGCCGTGACTTGAAACAGAAAGAAAAGGGAAAGATCAGGAAGATCTGTGGAACAGTGCATTCCAGTAAACAGATTAAGGATGGTTCACCTTGTGCAGTTTCTTTTTTGTCTTTAACCAAACAAACGACTTTTATACCTTATGCATCACTCACTGTACAAGGCTTGACTGGTTGGAGTGGATTACCACCAAAATGATCAAGGCATCGATTTTACACTGTCTATTTGTGCAAATATCAGTTTTCTGAAACTGTATGGCATGCCTCAGACTTTTTTGCAGTGCCCTTTTGGAAGTGTTTAAAGTGTCCCCGCTGCTCTGATGTTTCAAGGTGATGTTCATGTTATGAAACATGAGGTGCATATTGTACAGTTCAGAGATTAATTAATGTTAAAATTATTGATCTAACCATAAAATAGAAAAAATGAGAATATGAAAAAAATTCCCAGGAACAGCTTGGAGTATTCAGATATAATGCTTGGAGTGTAGTCTGGTGCATTTTAACTGCTTTAGAACATCTATTTCATCTGTTACATCTATTGATTTGCGTTTGGGAGATGTTAATTTAATTTAGGGTTTTTGCCCTGCCCTACATGTATCAGATCACTGTATACTTAATGTTCCCCCCTCCCCAAGCTTGTGAAAAAAACGCAAGTGTGCTCGGATGGGACTTGAACCCAGCACTTTAGAATATGTTGTAGTTGATAACAGAATAAAAAACAAACACACATACAGTACTTGGACATGTACACACACTCTCGTGCCCCTTTTTATTTGAAGGAAAAAATGGTTATTGCAGAGAAAAAATGCCCTAAGGATTCACAAAAATCTTGACCTTTTGGTCCACATGTTCTTAAGAACACATGTTTTTCTCACATGCAATCCTGGCTAGTTAGGTGGTAGAACTACTAGAGCATGAATTTACAACAAATGTCAGAATGGACAGCAGTCATATCAAGTGTTTAAATTCCCCAAGTACTAAAGGGTAATTAATAATAATCATAATAATAACAATATCATTTCTTATGCACAAAATCCACAAAAATGTTACAACTCCTTACATTAAAATTAAAACCATAAATTATATTGAAAACTACAACGCTGTACAATTATGAAATTAAATAATATAGTTCTATATATAAAACACTATCTCTCTCTCTCTCTTAATATATATATATATTTATATAAATATATATAAATATATATAAGTATAATATGTACCTATAGTAAATTAACTTGATAACCCCTGTGGAGGCAGTCTTGTCTGTCAGATTGCTGTCCCTGGCCTGAGTTGACCCAGAGAGGGTTGACCCGATTCAGTGGACATCAAGACACTTCAGCTTCACTCATTACATTATATCTTGAGGCTAGAGCCCTTGCAAGGGCTGTGATATATGATCTATCATGTCAATAGTTTGATATGTACTGGTAGACTTCAATATGAGTATATAAATATACAGACACAATGTTAATCTATAGCCTCGGGGTTAGTTTGGCCTTACTTCTTATTGGATTGATGATAAGAGTTCCAAAACTCAGACTATTATTTACTCAGTGAAAGTGGTCAAGGATGTATTATGTACAGTTTGGTGATAAACAACTTATTATGTGTCCTCCCACACAAAAGTGACTGTTTGAAAGGCAATCAGCTTCAGTGCCTGATTCTCAGACATTTCAGGTGAAATTCTGGAGAATATAAGGCACCTTCCAGAATTCACTTGGATTATAAAATTTTGTGTGGATAGAAAGGGTTAACTTGATGTAATCAATTTGCATTTTTTGGTAGCTTTCTTATTCCCTCCCGTCCTTTGGCCTTCCCATTATGCCCCTTCAACCTCTTCACTCAAAATTTACCACAGGTGATATGCAGACCTTTTATCTTTTTAAAATGCTTTTTACACCTTACATTGAAATGTGCCTTTTTCCATTCCTACAAATAAATCTTGTCACTTTGCCTCAAGGGCAGTTTCTGCATGCACCAAAATACCTGGAAATCCTGGCTTTGTGACCACAGACTCCAGCCTCTGTGAGCAGGTGCTCCCAGTTCAGGTGATTCCCATCCATTCATCAGTCCCACCGCCCTCACAGAGGCCTCATTATCATCAGCAAGTCATCTTGAAAACATGAATATTTATGAAGGTCACGGTTTAACGAGAGGGAGCTGTGCGTGCTACCAATCACATTAGGCTGTGCTGCATGTACTTTACATGTGCATGTCGCTTAATGCTTTCGTTGTGTCGGGAGTGACAGGTACCTGTGTATGTGTATTGGTTTTCTGTGTGGAGTATTGTACTTATGCAACCAAACTGAGAGCCACATGGACTAGAGCTCCGGCAATAACAATGATGTGTTCGAGCCAATAAAAAACTCTCCACTTCTACCAGGACAATAGTGCAGTATCGTACGGAAATTTTCCAGTGTGTGGGTTGCTGACATGGTGGATTTAAGGGGGATTTTCGTTGGATGGTTCTTCTTGGAGAAATGAAGAGACTTCCTGCCGTGTCCACAGAGATGACTGAGGTGTTAATGGTAACAATTTGCATCATTTGTCAACATGGATGTCTTCTTCTGAGAGCTTTGTGAC